TGGAACTGGATGATCTTTGGGGTCCCTTCCAACCCAAACCATTCCATGATTCTATGATTCGATATATTCACATAGTAGTAGTAGTATTAAACTGTCCTTATCTCAACCCACAGGTCTCTTTCTCTTTTCCCCTTTAATTCTCTTCCCCATCCCCGGGGATGGCATTTAGTCGCCGGTCCGCCTCAACCACGACACCCCTCCCCACAAAACCAGCTCTGGGCAGCACTGCTGGGCTGTGACCCCGGATAACCAGCATTGGCTAACCAACATCTCCTGTGCCACAGAGCAGGTCCACGTCACTCCTGCCACAGGACAAGGGCCGGCAGCCAAATTTAACAAAAGCAAAACAAACCTTTAACAAAATAGGCCCTCTTCTTATTTTTTTCTAAACCTGATGGGAACTCGAGGCACTGAACGTGGCTCTCTGGAACCAGGAACCTGCAGCTGCTCTGCCTTGTCCTACCTGTGGCCACAATATCAGTCATTTCCTCGCGATGCGTCACTTGGCTTAACGCGTGCGGTTCCCACTCCAGACGCTCTCGCGTGCCTGATGAGGCTTAAATCACTCCTGCTGACCATTCATTACCTCCCCAGCTCTCTGCATCCCTCAGCCCTGTCTCTGTCTTGCTTAACCCTAATCACTCAGATTCCTCGGGGCAAATGCTGATTCGCTGCTTACGCTTCATACATTACCCATACTTAATAAACAGCAATTACTTATAGAACCTTGATAAATAAATTGTTCTACTATGTGTATACGTATTGAGCCAATAAACCTAAAAGGTGATTTTCCACATGGCCAGGATGAATCTCCATGTATCAAGGGAAGGGGTGATAAGACTCTCTAGGTTTGTCTGCAAAGGTTTACACACCTCCAAGCCACCCTGTGATGGTTTAAGCCACCCTGTGCCCACCCCCAAACCTCAATCTATCAACCAACCACACTGCAAACTCAAAGCAATGCATTGTCTTGCTCCAGATTGGGAGATCCTGGGACCACTCAGCAACTTTGGATGATGACTCCATCCAAATGGACCAGGAGACAAGCCAGATCAGGCTGCAAGGACACAGCAGCAACACTATGGGAGCAGGAGGACACAGCAGCTTAGCTGGAGGTGACTGGACCCTTTGTCGCATCCTCCAGAGCCTTCTCCGCCTTGTTACCACCTTCCTCCTGTCCCCATCCTTTTTTAGCTTGTTTTGCTGTATAGTGAAGAAGGCTGGCACCAAATCTTAAAGCCCAGTTTTGGAGACCAGCCCATTCAAACCTGAACCAAATACCTGGCCGAGGAGGAGCATCGAGAACAGAAACCCCCTGCCTCAGCACTGCCTCTCCCACAGGGCAGGGAAGACAGTGAGGGAGAGAAACACGCAGTGAGGCTTTGGCTGCTGCTGTGTAGACCAGTCCTCCCTTCTCCATCCTTGAGAAGACAGCATGGGGTGACAGGTTTCTGCACTGCTAAGTGCACCTACAATACCAAAGAGCAGCATCATTTCAGCGTCGGGCCGCTGGACATTGCCACGGAGCAATGCCCTGGCTAGATGAAAAGGGGGTCCTCCTAGGACCCAGCACCAGGAGCAGCAGTGTCTCCCCTTAACAAGGGAAGCTTGGATCCCCACCTCATCTCTCTTCCTAGCAGGTGGGATGGGAGCTTCCCCCTTGGCACCTAGAAAGGAGAGGTTAGAAAGCCGGTTAACCCTCTCTCTGCAAAGTCTTCCCACACGTCCTCACACCACCTGCCAGCAGAGATGACCACTTGCAAACACTTTCCTTAGAGGGTTATTGCAAATTATATCCATCCTCCTGGAAGGAGGCAGGACTTTGACAAGCCTTGCTCATCTCAGAGTACAGGGGCCCCAGTGCTCCCACCGAAATATGGCTTTCCACCCTGCCTTTCCCAAGCACTAAAGGCAGCTTTAATCCTAAGC